ACAGCGGAAACTCTACGGTTACTCCACAGCTGCCGCGATCTCTTCACCGTTCCCGAGCGCCATTGTTATTGCGTCTTCCCGGTGAGTCCGCGCTGCTGTGCTGTAGATCAGGAGTTGCTGAAGAATAACACGTGGACATACACTGCTGACAGCGGCGACTGACACACACACACACACACACACACACACACACACACACACACACAGAGGTACAGTTGGTTTTATATTGTGATATTCAGACTTTCTTCTTAATAATGTCATGTCAGAAAAGTATTCTTTGATAATTCTAAATAGGGAAATCAGATTAGCAGCCAATGACTCAGTACAGCAGTGTTCACAGTCAATTAGACATGCTGGTGTTGTGTACAGGTCATACTGGCATGATAATTCCCATCATATTTTCAAAGTAACATCATAAACAATATAGAGACTGATAAATGAAACAATGTGCAAATATCAAACCAACTTTACCTCTATGGTGTGTGTGTGTGTGTGTGTGTGTGTGCAGGTTTAATGAAGTGTATTACATGCATATGTGTGTAAGATATATATATATATATACATTATGTGTGTGTGTGCATGTGTGTGTGTGTGCAGATGATGGCGTTGGTGTGTGACACTGCTGTGGATGATATCGAGGATATGGTGAGAATCACTGACGTCACACCACTGCAGCGGCAGGCGGCCCGCAAGAGTGTGGTTCCTCGCGCACGCAAACACAAGCAGGAGACGGGAGAGCAGATGCAGACCGACAGGTGAGGCACATGCAGACAGACAGACAGACACACACACACACACACACACACACATTAGGGGTGTCCAAATGAATTGTTTCTTCAGTGCTCTGTGATGCAGACGCTGTGGATTCGATACCGGTCATGTACTGATCATCCTTGGTTATTACGTACTGATGCCATTAACTCGTGTGTGTGTGTGTGTGTGTGTGTGTGTGTGTGTGTGTGTGTGTGTGTGTGTGTGTGTGTTCACATGAGTCAGAACAGAGCCTGTAGATGACCGTGTGTGTTCTGCTGTGTGTTCAGTGTGATTCCCGGCATGCAGAAGGTGTGGCTGAAGACCTGGGGCTGCTCACACAACAGCTCAGATGGAGAGTATATGGCGGGTCAGCTGGCGGTGGCAGGATACCAGATCACAGGTCCAGATTCACTGCTCCACACACTAACACCGGCTGCTCTCACTTATCACATTACACAGGTTTAACGTACGCTTGACCAAAGAGTGGCAGATAGGGATGTCCTGATACGATATTGATATGGGAAATAGGTCCAATATCAGTCCAAAAAACTATATTAGACTGCGTTAACAATCTCCGATATAAGCAGTCTGATGGGTTAGGGTTACAACACTGCTTGCTAGCAAAGCCCCTTTAAGATTTAACATGCTCTTCACGCTTCCCACACACAGCACTTTACCTGAGCGGCCCGGTTCTGTGTGCGTGAGAAACTGAGAATACTCCGCCACAGACTCGCATGCTCTGCTGTTGCAGACCCACAGTGACGCGCTGAACACCCGTTCTGACCGTAGCTTTGAGTAACCGTTAGTAGCTTTAAGAAGAGCGCGAGGACACGCAGAAAACTAAAGCCTTTTACTAAATAGACTGATCCAGCTGATTATTTAGGATGACAATACATACACTTTTCCCAGACATGTCCTCTATTTGGCATTTAAAAATGGCATTCAGCCAGGATTTGTAATTGGCCCAACCAACATGTCACAGATTCTGCTTTCACTAAATATAGCTGCGCTTCCGCATTACTTTATATGCAGACCAGTGCATCTCAATCTCTCAACAGCACCAAGAGTAGAGAGAGAGCAGATTTGACCTGTCAGTGGTGCACATGGATAGTAGAAGTAAAATAGTGGATTTCTTATTTTTTAGTTCACTTTTTTACTTGAACACACTGAAAAGAAACAGTGGGGTGTAAAAGTGGTTAAATTCTAAACATCTTTGTTGTTTTAATTTTCTGTTAAATAAAAATAAGAATCATTCTGTTGCTGAGGGCCATCACAGTTTAACAGACAGAATGGTGTTACTTTCGTGCAGAAGCAAACTTTAATTAGAGGCATTCCCATGTTTAACTCTTCTTTAAAAAGCGCATAAAGATAGCGTGCTCTGATTAACTGTGTCAGCTTTGCACATCAGTCTGCAGTTCTGTCTCTAGTATATTTATGTTAAAGATAATATGTGCAATATGTATTAATTTCAAATTAATAAGGTTTGGGGACATTGATACAGCCATAATCTTCTTATGATGCAAACACAGATGAAATAGATCTGATCATGTAAGTGTTTGTACTAACCATACTGCACATTTCATTAACTTAACAACCTCTTATAACAATAACTCCTTATTTCTGCTGCCCAGTGTGACAGTTATATTTCAGCTCAAAACTGGATCAAAAATTCATCAAGAAGCTGTGTGTGACACTCAACCTTTAGCAGCTGATTAATTAACAATATTGTGTTTTTCTTCTGTTCCTGCTCTCAGCTGTTTCTACTATTTGCTGATGGTAAAATAAATAACTGAGGTGACCTTTAATTAGTATTTTGCACTTTTAAAATATATTCTTGTTTATTCAGTTAATATATTTTACAGTGTCTTAACATTTATTCTTTAGTTTTATTCATATATTCTTATGTAAAAAGTTCACATTTATGCAACCAATACTGAATTTTTTTTTTCATAATCACTGTTGCTGACTTTTGTTCTCAGTTTGATCTGGCCGTTTACACATTCCACTCAACGAAATAGGTAAAAGTAAAGTATTCATCATTTGTGCTGATTATTGTATCGTTTCGTACTAAAGGCTGCAATATCGGTATCATATCGGAAGTTAAAACGTTGTATCGGGACATCCCTAGTGTCAGACCAAACTACTGAGATTTAATAGCATTCAGTTCCAGTTTAATTGTGTAGCACTCCCAATCACTACTGCTCCACAGCAGCTTCACTACAGCTGCACATCATTACACACAGTCACACAGTATATAAACACACAGCTAACCCGCAGTCACACAGTATATAAACACACAGCTAACCTGGGGTCACACAGTATATAAACACACAGCTAACCTGGGGTCACACAGTATATAAACACACAGCTAACCCGGGGTCCGTTCTTCGTACCTCGCTTAAATGATCTAGTCACACAATAGCAATATATAAACACAGCTAACCCGCAGTCACACCGTATATAAACACACAGCTAACCCGCAGTCACACAGTATATAAACACAGCTAACCCGCAGTCACACAGTACATAAACACAGCTAACCCGCAGTCACACAGTATATAAACACAGCTAACCCACAGTCACACAGTATATAAACACAGATAACCCACAGTCACACAGTATATAAACACAGCTAACCCACGGTCACACAGTATATAAACACAGCTAACCCACAGTCACACAGTAGATTGTTGGCACTTTATGTTGAGATATTCTTCTGAATGTCTTCTTCTGTTCTCCTCAAGAAGCCTGTGAAGTCTTTAGCATATTGATTAGCTCATTGACAGGTTTTGCGTTGTCTTTAATCAGTTGTATCTGTCAGTCTTGTGTTTCTGACAGACTCAGGCTGTGTGTTGATGATGTGACGCATGTTCCAGCTGAGTGTGGAGAACACAGTAAACACAGTACAGACGTTTATGATGTGCCTTATAAATGCTGGCGTTCTCTGAAATCTGTTCTGACAAACACCAGCAATAATGAAGTGGGGAAGTGACCTTCAGCTGGATTATAATAACACCTATGATTAGTGTTTGAGCATGGATAATAATCAACATTAGACAGCAGTGGATCTCAGAAGTCTGCGTCTGCTGCATGTCTCCAGGCTCCTGTTTGTGGTCAGCGGCTGCTGTTTAGCGGGTTATAAACTAATGCAGTATTGTAGTTTCAGATGAACTGTGCCGTTTTAAACTGTGTTCATAATTAATAACAGCGAGATTACTGCACAGCCTAAGCCCTGTGTGTGAAAGACTCTTCATCTGGCTCAGTCTGTGTTTCAGCAGAACCCACAGCCGCCTGTAGGTGGTGCTGCAGACCAGAGAAGCCGGCTCCAGAGCTCTGAGTGTGTCTTCATGAGGAATTCACCTCCACACTGCTGCTTTAACACATCAGCTGTGTGTGTGTGTGTTTATGTTTATCTGCTGAGGACTCTTGTTTTATCTGTGAAACTGTGAGAGTCTCGGCGCGAGCACAAGCTCTGTCTGCTGCAGGATGTTCTGGAAGCGGAGCGCTGTGCTGGAGTCACCATCAGATCTGCAGTGCTGTGGCTGCTTGAGCTCTTTTCACTCTTCACAGTGACACACACACACACACACACACACACACACACACACTCTCGGCCTGAGCTGGAGCCAGATTGACCTGTTACAGCAGTGTAATGTACATTGTGTTAGTCAGATGTCGGCTCTTCAGGCACTGCATTGTATAAACTCAGCTGGTCTGGGATCAGTGAAGCGGGTGAATGTGATCTGTGAGCGGTCTGTGGTCTGCTATTGATTAGGCATTAAGTGGCGTGGCGTGTTTTGGATGGTGAGTGGTTGTTTTCCAGCGTGTCCTTGAGCGCTGGGCTGTTGTACTGATCCTCCATGACTGCGCTCATGTGTTTACATCAGCGTGTCTGCTTGAGCGACGGCAGGTCGATAGTGCTGTGGGTTCGAGGAGCGTCTCCTGATGAACTGTCAGACGCCCCGACACTCGTCTGCAGGTCATCCGTCTGTCTGGAGAAGCAGTGTTGCGTACAGATGCGGCTGAATCCCCCAGAGGAATCGGGCTGTGTGTTGTTAATGAGAGGCTGATGGAAGGTGTCTGCTAATGGAGCTGATGAGTCTGATGCTGAGAGAGCAGATGGAGCACACACAGCTGCTAACACTCATTCATCAGCTTTACTTCACCTACTGCAGTAGATACACTGCTTTACTGCGCTCAGACCGGTGTGTGACCCGCTCTGACACTGGCGGGGGCCGTTCACTCTAATATTTGTTCCATGGATAGAAAAAAGACATTGAGATGTAATAATCTGTGCTGATGCACGTCAGATGTACAGCGGTAACTGGCAGGGTTTTGTGAACTATTCAGACTGAGTCCAGAGCGCCGGCAGCAGTAGGAGATCTGACCGTGAACTCTGCAGGCCGAGGAGACGCTACGGTGGACAGATGAGGCTAGCTCTGCTTCAGTCAGACGAGTTTCAGCAGCGTCACCGCTCACCTCTGCTTGTTCAGTCAATCATGCGTCAGTCACATTTTCACAGCGTGTGATGTCAATACTCTGCTGTTCAGTGTAGATCTGTGACACCACTATCCTTCATCTCTGCAGAGGGTTCTCAAACACACACTGCACTAATGTTCTGGGATTGGGGAGCGGTCTTCACTGCGTCTTATTCTCTGCTACACCTTGTTAGACTCATGCAGCACAGGTTGGGTGTTTTCCTTCAGGACCTTTGATGCATAAACAGGCACAGCACAGGTGGTCTTCAGTCTATTTCAGGAGGTCTTCATTTTATTTCAGGTGGTCTTCAGTGTATTTCAGGTGGTCTTCAGTGTATTTCAGGTGGTCTTCAGTGTATTTCAGGTGGTCTTCAGTCTGTTTCAGGTGATCTTCAGTGTATTTCAGGTGATCTTCAGTGTATTTCAGGTGGTCTTCAGTGTATTTCAGGAGGTCTTCAGTCTGTTTCAGGTGGTCTTCAGTCTGTTTCAGGTGATCTTCAGTGTATTTCAGGTGGTCTTCAGTGTATTTCAGGTGGTCTTCAGTGTATTTCAGGTGGTCTTCAGTTTATTTCAGGTGGTCTTCAGTTTATTTCAGGTGGTCTTCAGTTTATTTCAGGTGGTCTTCAGTCTGTTTCAGGTGGTCTTCAGTGTATTTCAGGAGGTCTTCAGTCTGTTTCAGGTGATCTTCAGTTTATTTCAGGTGGTCTTCAGTTTATTTCAGGTGGTCTTCAGTCATTCTTCTTTACAGTAGGAGATGTTTGGCGTCTGCAGGCTCATGTTGTCTTGAGATGACGGCTGTGTGGGTATTTGCATGTGATTTGCATATAATCCCTGCAGGCAGTTGGAGATGGCAGGAGGCTAAATCCTGTGTTTATTAGCCAGACCTTAACTAGTTTAGTTGTGCTGATTTTGCATCTCATTTGCATGCACTCTGCTCGGCTGGCGTTGGGGGTTAGATGACCTCAATAGTTTTATTAGACGTGTGTGAGTCTGTGTGTTGGATGTGAAGAGCACTGTGGCGTATAGAAGTGTTTCTCTGTGCTGTAATTACAGGAGGACAAACACATGATGGCAGACGAGACCCTTCTTAGATTGTGTGTGCGTGTGTGTGTGTGTGTGTGTGTGTGTGTGTGTGTGTGTGTGTGTGTGTGTGCGCGCATGCTTGCGTATGCGTGTGTGTGCGTGTGTTCGTGCGTGTGTGCGTGTGTGTGTGTGTGGCTGTTGGATCATCTTTTGTGACTCAGGTCAGGACGGTTGCAGTGACTCCTTTCAGCTAAAGACTAATTTCACTAAAGCTAGCTCTGTGATTGGCTGAGCCCGATTCGCAGGCAAATACATGCAAATGACTTCAGGAGAACACTTGAGCAGCTGTGTGTGTGTGTGTGTGTGTGTGTGATATTGAAAGAGAGAGTGTGTGTGTGTGTGTGTGTGTTTGTGTGCATGTGTGTGTTTGTGTATGTTTGTGT